ATTTTTGTTGTGCCTCAAACGTTTTTTTAAACATCCTGATTATTACAATAATTTATGCACCGCGGTGAAATTCACTCTGAAATTGCGGAAAGACCTTAAAATTCTACGTTGCCTTTCTTGTACATGTTTTGTATCCCGGGGTAGTGATATCTAATTTCATTACTTAGAGAGCTTGGATCAACTTCTGATGTAGAGAATTTTATTAAAAACATTGTTTACTGTTCAGTGCAGGTAGTTACAAGACGACGGCGCCCGCCAGTTGATTGTGGTAATCAGTAACATGCATGATAATCCCAGTTGCTATATCTCTTTCGATTCAAAAGTACTTAAAGAAGCTTAATTACTTTCTTTTAGAGGCCGGAGACGAATTCAAGTGTCAAAAGAGGCAATTTCATGGAACTTTTAATCCGTACAATCATGACATCTGACACGGCCAGTAATTATGCAAATACGCAAAACGGCAGATTATAATCTACTGTTGGTTGCAATCCCAGAAGATACCCACAAGTCTGAGCCTATAAACCAAAAATATAAGCTTAAAACTTTACTTTGATATGATTTTTAAACCAGATTTAGGCCGCAACTTTTGAGATATTTTCCCTCAAATCTTCCTTACTTTCAGGGTTTGGATTAAGCCTGCAAAATAGGTATTCTTTGAACCACTGTAACTTGAACACGTTTTGATCAAAGATATTTTTATTTAGCCTGTGAACTATCGAAGGTTAACTAAAAAAACTGAATCGAACAGATTTTTTGTGCGGGCATTCGTTTGTTTGCAACGCGTTTTTCAAAATCCATCAATTCTAGTCTTTGAAACACTCTCTGAGAAGCCGAGACGGACTCAATTCGTTTTTGGCTTGTAGCAGAGCTAAGAATAATAATTTGAAAACAAAAATAGCGATTTTAGTATATACCTACTAAAGTCTCTTCACCGACAAAAAATAAAGGAAAAGTATTTTTTGTCGCGAAGTCGAGTGGACCGCCTTTAGGGAGACCGCCTCTTAAAAATCATCGGTCGTAATCTGCCATATCGCTTGATATACACAGCCTAAACGTTCCATCCGATTTTGTCGATTTTGCCTTAAGCCATTTTTTGATTTAAACTATAATCTTTGTATAGAAAGCCACACGTTTTTGTTCTTAACAAACGCTAGTCACGCATGGTACTTTTTACTTTAGCGACTCTCCGGCATGAACTCTTTAAAATTCAGTTCATTTTGTGGTACTTTATTCCCCTGAATTTAGCGTAAGTGTGAAAGTCTCGATGATTTGAGCTTTCCGGAAGGTGGATTAACCAGCGATATATAACTAAGTTTTCTAACTGGAAAACCGGAATCCATATAAACTCTGTACCGCTACGAACACCCTTAATTCTCTCGAATTACTCTTGCAATGGGCAGAAGTTCCTAGCTCGTTATATTACTTTCACACAAAGCGCTCTTGTAGCCGAAATTATCATTCAGCTCTTAAAACCTTTCACAGTTGACTGTCATAATCAAAGATAATAAATGAATAAGGAATTTCTACATTGTTTTCAACCTGTTTTAGTTTATGAATAAATTTGAAATGTCTTACCTCTTCGAACGCTTGCTTCAATCGATTTCCTTGTTCAACAAAATGTTTAACGTTGGATAAATAGCGAGGCTCCCTCGAAAATAAGGTCGAAGGTTTCTTGTTCCACAGCAAGACGAATATTCTCTCAGTTACAGGAAACTATATTCAAACAAAAGGCCTATGCACTCAGAGAGTCATTGTTTACAATGACACATTTCGCTTTCCGATTGAGCTGTAAAAGTTATCCATTGTTTACATGCATGGTTGAGACCCAAATAAACTTTGTCCAAGCCGGTTATATTTGTCTCCTTTCCATAAATCTTTCGGACTGTGACCTGTCATTTAATTTTATTAAGGTCGTGGCAACAGTGCTTAGTCAGAAACACGAGATGGGATTTAAAAGATAAATATGCAAAATTTGCAAAAGACTGTAATCATTTTGAACTTTAATTGGTCTAAGTTTCAATCTGTCCAATTATTATTCAAGACATGTTGGCCTTCACAAACATGTTGTTAGATTACGAAGTTGTGCGATTGTGTACACAGAGCTTATGAAATATACAGGTGATTTGTTAATAAAACACTTGCAGAAGAAGGTGAAGGCGCTCGAAGGAACTAGTCTGACGTCACAATGGCAATTGTTTAGACCGGAAGCCGGATCGCACTGAAATCCCGACGATAACTTCATTTACAATACCACAGACTACTCTGGCATCCTTTGTTAATTGCTGCCTTTGAATACAATATTATTTAGTCATATATGCAAAGCCCATGCTCACGTTGAAATGAGGTTAATTAGGTTAAATTATCCCTTTCCCGGTCCCAGATTCCTTCACATCCAGTTAGCATTCCTCCCTTTTTACAGCCAGAGTTTGAATTTGCCCAGTCCCTGTATGGCGTCTTCCTAGTCCATCTCGGTCAATAAATTTCGGTGACGTATCTGAGACCTGAAAAACGGGTTCGGACCACGTGATCCAAACCAAATCGGCTGCGCGCAGTAATGACGCCTAAGGACTAGGCGGGGTTTGAATAAGGACATCAAGTAGTCTCAGCCTCCAGTTAAATTTCAGAGCCAGGATTGAAACCCGCCAAGAAGCCGTAAGTCCCATTAAGGCTCTTGAACCCGCCCTCGGCCTCACTAGTTACACAATTTACTCCATGTTCCTCTCCGCTCTCATCCTTAACGTTTTAGGGGCCAGCCTCCTTTCGCGAGGTTCTGCGAGCCCCTCCCCGGCCCCAGAAATCTTCCACGCTTGTGGAGGCCCGAGGGTAAAGTAACCTGCCTGAGGAGTTATTAGGAGCGCCAAGAGGGGTTAAATAAGGGCGCGAGCGCGCAGCGAAGCAGATGAAAGTTTACCCCCGATTTGTGATCAAGAATAGTTTGATAGAATAATCCCAAAAACTCTCAAAATGAGCTCGATATTTAAAGCAAATCGCCTAAAATACTGAAATACTTTTGCCGGCCATGGGGAGCATAGAGGCGGAAGGATCGTTTCCTTCTCTTCGGAGAATCCATACTTTGCTTTACAACACAATGAACACCGCACGACTCAGCCATCTCTATGCATGATGATAAAGTTTCCATCAATAAAAGGCTGGTTTGCGAGAAATTTGTTGCGCAGCACCGCAGACTAACGATGGTGACAAGCAAGTTTCTTGCCGGGGTTTCTTGTAACAGTTTAATCTGTACTGTATTTCTGTGTTGTGCTTGATATCCCATATTGTAATTGAGAGTACGCGATTTTAGCGCTGTAGTGTGTGGCGTTGCGAGAGTTTGCTACGGTGTTGTTTGTTGGGGTTCATCTGTTAATGGTTATCTCCTATGTTAGCCGGCGCAGAGGAACCGAGATACTTCATTTAAGGCAGAAAGCAACCCCCTCTCCCCGACACCCAAACTTCCAGTTCTGGATCCATCCGTTTTAGATACAAAGTCTATATCTTAGCCTGAAGACAAGTATCCGTGCAATAAAAGAAGGAATTTGGGGGGGGGGGGGGCATAGGCCTACAACCCCTCCCACCCCCTGTCTAGATCCACCTTTGCTTCTTCTGTCCCATAAGCATTTCGCTGAAGGATGAATAGTTTCATTTACCAAGGAACGAGGCCAGGCAGACGTTACTGGTCTAACGGAACTTTAATAACATCATTTTAAAAAACCAAGGCTACGTACAATAATAAACAGGAAACCTGAAAATGTATCAGCCACTATATGTACAAAAATTCTAAAATGGCGCTTACTGTAAATCAGTGAAAGCATGATCACATTAAGCTAATAACACGCCTATAGGAAAATTTCTTAATGTATATATGATATGTAGCAGTGTATGAGTACCTTACGAGCAGTGGTTTAACTACTGCTCGCAGGGCAATGTATGCATGCCTATCTGACTTGATCATATATGTCTATGATCAATTTGTGAGTGTCGCCATTATGGAATACTTTACAGAGTTCATAGTAAAGCATCATCTACATATGAACTGTTTTGGTTTGTTAAGTACACATTGTTAATATGACGTTACTATGTTTACCCAATACTATATAAAGCCACCACGTCCAAACAACAATTCTCCGTAGTGTTAGTTATATTTCGCAGAACGTTAATCAATCCCAAATTGTACTATGTAAAGCTATAATATATCACATGTAGCTATGCTGTATGTACAACTATCTCAAAAAAATAAATACAGTGTCTATCAATTTAACCCAGTCTCCACAATAGCATTGCTGGAGATTTTTAGTTACGCGTTTTCCATATGAACCTTTTAACTTTTGAAATCACAACCTGTTCAAGTACACTATTAAGACATAGTAGTGTCCAAAAACAATTTCGCTTCACCTAAAACTGAAAGTATTATGAAAGTAATACAACAGAAAATCGAAGGGCTGCGAGATTGCTTTGAAGTTACCTGATCACTGTGAAGCTTTGCAGAAAAAGAAAAAAAAACAACTTCTTTTTAAGGCTCCAAAAACGCCACTGAATCCAGACTAAAATCAGCGCTATTCAGGGAAAAACCAACACATGTTTAAATAGATTAGATAAGCGTAATTAACGGAATATTGTCATTAGTTTTAAGATACTTTTAGCTTCCTGGGTTATTTTATTACTAAAGAGGTTTGGGTAGTATAGCGGGATTCAAAATCCTCGAGAGATACCAGATGACTGATGAAGGAGTTAAACGCTTCACTGCAGCACTCACATTCACTAAGCTGAAACCTGCATAGTACTAATGAAGACACTAATGAAGGAGTTAAACATTTAACTACTGTATCCCGCTAAACTACCCATACATTAACATGTTTTTAGTTCGCAAAAACCCTGATTGTGTTGGTTGCCAGGTAACAACTTCGCAATCTCAATACATCCTAGCGACTGAAGGTTGTTGAAGCTTAAATCAAAATCCAAAATTCCTTCAACAGAGAAACATTTACATTGCATACAAGGATTTATTAGAAACTTACTTTACAGTTTATGTTCAATGAGTTTAGGAGATCTTTACCTTCCTGGGTTATTCGATTATCCTCTAGGTATAAGCTGTTTAGTTTGCAGTTTGTGTGTGTGAGTGCTGTACATAAATGTTTTACTCCTTCATCAGTTATGTTGTTAGCATAGAGGTTTAAGCTGTTTAGTGTGCAGTTAGTGTGTGTGAGTGTTGTGGATAAATGTTTTACTCCTACATCAGTTATGTTGTTATCCTCGAGGTTTAAGCTGTTTAGTGTGCAGTTAGTGTTTGTGAGTGCTGTGGATAAATGTTTTACTCCTTCATCAGTTATGTTGTTAGTATAGAGGATTAAGCTGTTTAGTGTGCAGTTAGTGTTTGTGAGTGCTGTGGATAAATGTTTTACTCCTTCATCAGTTATGTCGTTAAACTCGAGGTTTAAGCTGTTTAGTGTGCAGTTAGTGTTTGTGAGTGCTGTGGATAAATGTTTTACTCCTTCATCAGTTATGTTGTTAGCCCCGAGGTATAAGCTGTTTAGTGTGCAATTAGTGTTTGTGAGTGCTGTGGATAAATGTTTTACTCCTTCATCAGTTATGTCGTTACCCTTGAGGTTTAAGCTGTTTAGTGTGCAGTTAGTGTTTGTGAGTGCTGTGGATAAATGTTTTACTCCTTCATCAGTTATGTTGTTATCCGCGAGGTTTAATCTTTTTAGTTCGCAAAAACCCTGATTGTGTTGGTTGCCAGGTAACAACTTCGCAATCTCAATACATCCTAGCGACTGAAGGTTGTTGAAGCTTAAATCAAAATCCAAAATTCCTTCAACAGATTTAAGTGCATGCACTAATGCTAAACAGTCGAGAGGTGACAGGTTACACCCACTAAAATCAAGCACATTACAACCAATTTTCTCCAGTTTCTTTTGAACTTCTCGATCAGAGGCTTTGTTCTCATACATGCAATTGAATAGCGTCACCCCTAATAACACGTGTTCAGCAGCTGGCCACCGGGTCAGTATTTCAGTTCGTTCCTCTGAGTCTTCATTCATCTTGATTTTAACTGAATGAGGAAAAGTGTTTGAGGGAAGAAGGTTGCTGAAAATATCTGTTGACTGTCCTTCTTTTTCAGCCAGCAGTCCAGCCACAAACTGCATCACAACCTTCCACGCGCCATCTTGGATGTGAGCGGAAACAAAATCCCGCAGTTGTTCGGAACTCAACGTGTCTACCAAATACTTCGCCGCTAAGAACTCCTGTAAGGTCAGGTGTAAAAAGCAATATTGTTCTCTTCCATCTGCTAAAGGATGGTCTTTAGTATCAGGTAAACGGTGAAACAGGCCATTACTCTCTAGGCTGTTAACCTCATGCGATTCAAAAATTAATCTTCCCTCTTGAATGCCATTAAAAGCAATTTTTCCCAGACGTGTGAACTCCTTTTGCACAGAGGAGGGCAGTTCCTTAAATGGTTTTAGAAAGAACTGTTGTCCTTCAGTTTTATTGTGGCGATACTGACCATCATCGTAACTAAAGTAAAACATCTTTATTGCAATGGAGTATATTTCTGTAAGTCTTGTTGGGAGGTAGTGGAGGCTGGTTAAGCTAGTGTTGACAAGCAACTCTAACAAGCATGAACAAATGATGAAACAATTTACAGGAATGTAGCAGAAGGCTAGAAGGTTTAAGTTACTGGTGATGTGTCGCCTTATGGTTTCTGCTTTGTCTTCCAGCTTTGTAAACTTCCGTACATAGTCATTCACTTGCTCAGTTGTGAATCCCAGAATTTCAACTGCTCTGTTAAAGTTAAGACTTCTGACACATGACACGGCATTGGGTCTTGTAGTCATTAAGACTGTCGCGCCGGTAAGAATTTTTCCCGTTACTATTTTCTTCAGCAGGATATGGACAGGCATCTTGTCTTCTTCATTGTTTCTGTACGGAACGTCATCTTTACTGATTTCAGTCCTATAAGAATACTCGTCAAATCCATCAAAAATCACCAGTACTCGCTTTGGGTTGTGACGAATGTAGTTCCAGATCTCTTCGGAAAGAGCCCGTGATGAATATTCTGAGTGATCCAGAAGCTCGCGAAGATTTAGTTCTTTGTTTCTAGAGTTAAACATCCTCAGCTTAACGAGGAAGGCAACTTTAAAATCTATTTGCGATTTTTGTGTTTTGTTAAACAAGGTGTCGGACGCCCAGTCGTGAAGAATCTTTGTGCTGAACATGGTTTTTCCAATTCCAGGACGACCAACAACAAGAATCTTCCGTTTTTTAGCACCAAAAATATCTCCTGGACGCGTTGGTCGCAAATTTTCATTGGCTTTGTGGTACTCTTGTAGTTGTTTCATTCTGTCTCCAGAAAAGTTATACTTAACTCTCCCCTCATAAATAATTAGATTGGTGAACATTTCGTCAAGCTTCAGATCTCTTCTGGGTCCTTCACCTGGATTATGAAAAGGTGATTTAAGATCTCCGTAAGGCTGTTCAGTGACTTCTCGTACATGTTTCTTCATATCTTCGATGATGGAAGGAGCTAATTTTCGTTCGTTAGTTTGAGTGCGGTTGAATGACGAATCGTGTGAAGCGTTGCTGAATGAAGATGTTGATGGTCGCCTTTCGGTTGGACCGTCCTTATACTCATGTTGCTGCAGCCCTGCCGGAGAACAATCAATTATTACTATTTACTTGAAAAAGTGGTTAACTAAAATATCAAAATATCACCATCAATGAGAATAGCATGGAAAAGTATATTTCAGAAGAGTAAGTCATATGAACCAGTAAGGCCCGGTTCAGACGCCGAACTTTTCATGAGCCGAACCTAATACATTGAATTAAGTACATGAAAAGTTCGGCGTCTGAATCAATTAGGAACGCCTGTTTCAATTTGGAACGGCTCAGCCGTTCTTTTCGCCTATGGAGCGACTTTGAAACCGCTTTAATTCAGACGCCGAACTTTTCATGTACCGAACCTAATGCATAAATCATTATAAAGTATTTTGTAAGCAGTTTGACCGAAATGAGCATTTTTTATCTTTTGAACTTAGTTCAGCTGCAATTAAGATCGGCGTCTGAATCAATTCAGCTGGTCTAAATAATCTGGGTCGGCCTTAATTCGAATTAGGTTCGGCTCATGAAAAGTTGGGCGTCTGAACCGCGCCTAACAATCTCAAATCTTAGTCAAGTAATTTTAAAATTTAACAAAGAAAAACAGACAAAATAACTGATTGATATATCATGATGACATCAAAATCGTTCAAATCGGGGTTAGCGTTTTTATCCTCCTTCATTAAACTCTCTGCTAACAACATTTTAAAACTATCACAGGAATAGATAAAACATGATATCGAGATAAAAATCTTAAACAGAATATTAAAAAAAAAAAGATGATAAAGCAAGTGATAAATCAAGATATGCGGATTACTGACAAGAAACATGGGTTGTGGGCGTACCATGTGGTTTGTTGAAATATTGGTTTATCTCCACCTTAAACAAAATCCGGGCTTGTCCAATACTAAGGGAACACAGTCACTATGTGAACCAATCACACAAATGGAAGACATTGTTTGACAATTCCTATCACTCATATGACTTGCGCAACTTGAATCTTAACTTACACAATTTGAACAAGTGGTGTGTATTGCACACCTATATTTGGGATAATACATGTGTGTACCGAAATTGTATATAATTTATACCATGTAGCTTATCTGTGACTGTACTAAGTTACCCACCAATGGATTCAATAAATCATATGCCCTCTATGAGAAATTATGATTACCTTGATAATGAGGCCATGAATAAAAAGCACAGGGTTCATTCAAAATGTGTGCAACAAGAGAAGCGGCCATCACACTTGCACAGGAAGACCAATTCTCAGAAGCCAACTGAGAGCCATTTGCATAATCAGCTATTCCTTTCACAATTAACCACTCAATTTCACAATCAAATGCTGCTGCAAATACTCCTGTAGGAAAACAAAACAAACAGTACATTAGTTTTAAGACAGTCCTGTGTACGTGCACAAAAAAAATTGTGTGGACCTCAGAGACATCATTCAGCTGCTATTGCTTTAGCACACCTCTAAAAACGTACCAATAGAATTAAACTATTTACATTACGCATCAAGTTAAAGTAAAGTTAAGATTAAAGTTTATCAAGTTTTAAGGGTACATGTATACTCCTATTCTATGAGAAGTTACCTTAAAGAAATGTAAGGTACAGTGGGCTAGGGTGGTTTTTTCCCATAGAAATCTCTTAAATTTAAATCAGTTTAAATCAATCACAACTACACAGACTATAAACCAAGAACTGAACAAATTTTCAGAGTATGGAAAAATAACAGCAGCCATTTTTGCTTAAAAGGTCTGTAATGTGTAATATCAAAACTCAAAGATGAGTGATGGCGAGGTGCCTGCAAGGCTTGTGGACCCAAAATGCTACCAAGTGCAGCACATAACCTTGACAACCCTTTGAGTGGCATCCACACTGGCGCCATCTCACTGCTTACCAGTGGAACATTAGGGTCGCATAATTAACGTAATAACTTACTAAAGGGAGGGTGGGGTAAGGAGCAGAACATTTTACAAGCATCAGCAATGTTTTACAAAAATAATGGCATGACCTTGACAGAGAAGTTTTAAATTCCTAAAGTCCCCTGTGGGGTAATTCAAGAATCAACCTCATACAAAAGGCTCCTGGCCAGCAAGGTGTTGAATTTATTTAATATTTTATGCTTTCTTTCCACCTCAAGTAAAGCTCTAAATTTTAATGTCATTACCATTCTTTAAACCCAAATCATGCTGATTCATGAAGAAAGTTAAGGAAAAAAAGATTTACCTTTTATGGAAGGTTTCAGTTAACTTTGTATACGTTGTGGTTCAATAATTATTATTTTGTCCTTGGTCTGTATTTTATTTTCCATTATTTTGGAGTATGGTGATGTATGATAATGAGTTTCGGACAAAGAAAAATAAAATTTAAACAAAGTATAAAGGTGAGCCATAACCTATAAATGGAATATGTCTTTCCAAAAAATATCCATAACTTCTCCACGGATAATCAATGGAATTTCCGTGGGGGAGAGGGAGGAGGATTAAAATGCCAAAAATTTTAAAGGGTAGGGGATGGTTTATAAGAAATAATTTTTCCAGAGGGTCAGGCAAGACTTGCAATAATCAAACATGTACAGTGTACTTACGTATAATTATTATGTTGTAATGACAAACAAAAACAACAGTTAACTTACCTTCCCCTTCGTTTTCCATTGCTATTGCCTGAGGATTGGTTTCGGCAAGTTGATCACGTCGCTGTCCAGAAATGACTTCTTCTGGTCCACTCAGAAACTCAGCAGCAGTATGTACTTGAACTTCTTGTTGAGCATTAGCAACATTCTTCAAAGGTGCTTTCCAGCCATCAGCACAATTCTTAATGACATTCAGGAAACGTTTGCTCACATAATTTCTCATGCCAGTTGAATGTTCTTGATTATCGATCACCACTTTGGATGCATATGTTGTTAATTTGGCAGAAACAACAACATCTCCTAACTTGGATTTCTCAGGGTGAAGACCACTACATACACCAACAGATATGACTGCTTTAGGCCTAAGCAGAGTGGCAGCATTCTTAACAGAGACGAGAGAACCACCAGGACGACTACTGTTCTCATAACATTTAAATAATGCAACTTTAACTTTATCTTGACTTCCATCCACATCAGAAAAGTAAACGTGGCCAAGACCATCAAACCAACATCTATAGGGGTTTTTTAGCTCACTGAAACAAGCTACAAATTCACAATTCTTCACTGTCAGTAACAAAACATCAACAGGAAGATCAGCATGTTTTGAAGGTCTGGTTATTGCCTTAATGTCAGCCAAGGATGGGAGAACTTTGTTGAGCTCTGGAGGGTCCCTAATGCATTCTTTTAGAGTCCTTTCCTTTCTTTCTCTCTTTCTTTTCTTCTTTCTCTTTCTTTTCGATGTAGTTCTTTGGTTCTTTGTGTTGCTTGCAGTATTCTTTGATGAAATAGACAGGAGACCAGTGGTAATCTGGTGAGTGTTACCATCACTGCCCTCTGAACTGTTGGGTGTATCTCCTGAAGATTTTAAAATTTTGGATTCTGATCAGAGGAGGAAAAAATGATTAAAAATGAGTTAATAATAATATTATAATAACAATGTGTTGTGTGAGTGGTTCAGTTAAAACATGCCCATGTTGAAAGGCAGTTACAAGTAAACCAGCCCCCATCCTTGTATGTATTACCCAAACAAAATTTGCCCCCCCCCCCTCTCAGGTTCTTCCAAGTTCAAACACCACCCCCCCTCCATCCTCCACAACCCCAAAAAAGACGGTATGATTAAAGTTGGTCTTCTTTTTCAGCCTTACGTACAGAGATCACATTTCCACTCACAACTATAAGTGAACTTATTTTCTAACAACAATTAACATTACCTTCTTCATCTGAGTCTTCAGCCACATCTCTCTTCCTCTTTGTTGCTTGCATGACAGTAGGCTGATTTGACTTCACACAAACTGGAAGCAAAGTAATTATGATCAGTAGTACACTTGTCACAACCATAAGAAAAAATACGGAAGCCAAAAAGGGACAATCCAAAAATATTTTGCAAATCCCACAAAATATTTCAAATCGAAATATTTTTTTCAAAATCACTGTTGAGAAGTTTGACAAATCTAAAAAACTATTGCAAATCCTATGAAAATTAGTGGATCCACAAATAACTTTCTCAATAATCCGAAAGTATTTTGCAAATCCATAAAAATTATTTCAAATCGCAATTTTTGTACAAATCATTATTGAAGAGTCTGGCAAATCTAAAAAAACATTGCAAATCTTAAGAAACTTATTGGATCCGCTAATAACCTTTTATAAAACTCTAAAACAGTTTACAGTCCAAGAATCATCGTGAAATCCCAAAAAAATATTTTGGAAATCGAAAAAAAGTTTTCAGAATGTTTCATTGTTGCCAAATTCTCTTCCACATTTATGACAGAACATCGTACTCGATATTTCTAACCTCTTTCTTTCGCCAGTTTGGATGTGGGAAATGGCGGGAAAATGTTAGCATGACGCTGGCTGACTGCTGGCACAAGTAGCATGTGAAAAAACTTTTTTCTCGATTTCCAAAATATTTTTTTGGGATTTCATGACGATTCTTGGACTGGGTGAGTGTGGCCTCATTTTCCCGAACAGCGGCTGGTAATCGAGCTTAATAATCATGTTATGCAACAGATTTGAGCTCAGATTTGTGAAAAGCCATGCATGTTCGATATACTAAAATGACTTCAAGCAGGCTGCATCACAAACGTAATTTAACTTCAGTTAGTAATGTCTGTGAAGCAGCACCAATATCCTTACTCTGGCTCCCAAGGGACTCAATGAATTACCGGAAGAACGTTTTCGAAATTCCTTTCATCTTATTTGGCAAATCAACAATGGCATTTTTAACAAGCCAATCATGGCTCGCACTCAAATCCTGGTACGTACACAGCTGGGGGTCAGGAACAAGGAATTCAGCGCTGTTTCGCAGATGGACTTAACCAGAGTTTAGTTTTGTCTGTGGCGCAGGCTAGACTTCAAGGCATTTGGGTCAAAATTGCATCACCACTCTATTTATTTACACAATAAACTACTGTTATTCTTCACAGTGATCAGTTATAGAAATTATTCAGAAATAACAACACTAATGTTCTAATTATTCATTGTACAATAGTCGGGAACATAATATTTTAGCTAACGAGCTAATGGCGTTTGAGCGAGTGACCTCCAGACCATAAAGGAATCAGGCTAGTGCAAGAGTTCTCTAGTATCTCTGCAATTTTTTATTACAGTAGAGGTAAATTAGTAGGAGTTTACAATATCCAATGGAATAACATCTTATAATTATACAACTAGTATATTCAGATTTAGCAGGGAAAACTTATTGTTTAGAAAAAAAGTAAACTTCATTCTCATAGAGACATTTACAGTATCATCATCATCTTGCAATGTCCTCTGCTACTGATATATGTATATAAATTCAGCAAACATAATCCCACAAGTCCAAAAAAAGAAAAAAAGGATGTTTGTGATTGGAAAGAATGTTTTACCTTGTCTGGGCTGAAGGCTGACATAGTGTAACTCGTGAATGTGTCCCAACACAAGGGGGTTGGTATCAGCAAGTGCATGATCTGGCTGAACAACTATCTCACGGTCGAGACTGCTGATAATACAGATGGAAGTTTGAAAGTGATTTGCTGCAGCAAACAAAACCACATGATCACCCCAAGTACCGTCTTTCGCCATGCTTTGTAAGTATTCACGCCAAGATGGGTATCCAGAGACAAAGTTAAACAGAGATGTTCCTTCATGCTAAAAAACAAAACAATGAAGCAAGACAAAAAGTGAATTTCCTTTTTTTCTGACTAGGCAGCATAGACGTGGAGTGATTTTAATCTGCTAGAAAGTTTATTTAAAGTTTATTTAAAAGTGAGTGATTGGCTAGGGTAGCCTTTAAAACCACTTATTATTCACTCAAAATATTTTCCCAATTCTGATTGGCTAAAGCCACACACATAATTCACCATAACCAGTTACTGATAACCAAATTTGGAAGAATTTTGTGTCTAACTAGGAAATGATGTCAAAAATGCAGTCCGCTACAGGTTAAAGCACCGTTAACTGAGAAGACCTTGGGATGAGGTTGAGTTGTTTTGGTTGTGAAAAAAAAAGGCTGACATTTCACTCATTTCAAGAGTAAGAACTTATACAGCTGGAACTAGACGAAAAAATAGCTAAAAACGTGGCAAAAACAGCAAGAAGACAACTCGGAGGGTGACATCTGCTATTTGGAGAATATTAATTTGCGGAGCTGGACAAACCTAAACGTACACTATCGAAGATGAACTTAACATGGATGCAGGTAAGCATGTTTTAGCTATTTTTTGACACTAGAAATTATTTTGAATGAATAATAAAGCAATTAATGAATTTGGCTTTCGTGGGATATGAAGAATTAAGCAGATCGAGGAGGGTGTTATCTCCAGAGGCCTTTTGGCTCATTAGGATTTGCTGGGAGGGTTTGCTGGGAGACGAATTTCAAATAAAACTAGAATAATGCCAAAAGGTGATTTTCACTGGGCTGCCAAGGAGTGACCTTTTTTAAGGGGAGGGGGCGGTTGCGGTTGCACACAATCAGGCTACCATAAAACCTTGTCCCTGACCATTGCGTGACATGGAATCTCATGTGCGAATGAAACATAAATTCATTTGAACACTGTAACCTTTTGGAAGACTTTCGTAACAAGAAAAATGAGTACCACTTTTTGTCGGGCCGTATAGTAACTTTTAAATTCCACCATTAACAACAAAAATAAACAAGTTAGCCACTCTAAGTAGGAACAGATTAGCACCCCTCCCTCAATCCCTCTGCCCCCCAAAATATGGCATGACAGTATAACATGAATCAGCTGTACATTTCTCAATTCTCGTTCTTAAAACTAACAAAGCAAATTAAAATTCAAGTTTTGTTTTTGTCTGAAGCCTTTCAAACTGTCCAAGTGAATATATATACCTCATAGTTCATTTTGTTTCTCTGGTGTTTTCTTACATGATGTAGGTTTCCTCATGGATCGCCATAGTTGTGCACGGTGCTCAAAGGGGAAAGTTTATTGAGGAATTAGCTTCACAACAAAATGTTTAAGAAGCCGGAAAAAATGCAAGCTTTAGAATGGCTACAAGAAACAACAATCTCCGATGAATTTTTAAGTGGATCTGTCGAAGGTATCTTAAATTTTTATTGCTGATACGTGATGCATGACTTCCACTTTCCACACCTTTGCAGACATTTCCGGCACCACCACCTTTGCAAACTTTTCCGTCTTTGTTAACAGTTTTTTTCTGGAACTTTCCTCCAGAAACTTCCCCAGTTAAACGAACTACACAACAATGGTGATCAATGAGGAAACCTATGTCATGTAAGAAAACACCAGTCACCGGCTGCTCCCCTTCGCTGATTGGCCAGAATTTTTTTTCCCTTGCCAATCAGAAGCAGGCAGTTCAAATGCTTCTGGAACTGGTTCAGTAAGAGTAAGTGCCCAGGGGGCTCCTCTCGATCTTATAGTAAACTTTCACCACGGATATTCTATTGTCCTGACTAGCTGCCCCTGGGTCTCCGAGGATGTGGCTGCCTTCACTTAATGTACTTTGCTATTACTAAGTTAATAATTTATAGTCTACATTTTTCGACGTAGAAAATCCCTGGGGGGTATTCCCTTACAACTATTGCTCTGAAATAGTGCCAAGATTTGGAGAGTTGAACAGCACACCCCCACTACAACTTCCCAGAAATACCCCCTGGGGAGAAAATGAAAGGTATTTTATAAACTGGGCCCACCTTGAGGCAGCCCTGTTAATGAATTATTTTGATTCTCTCCAAATTCTGGAAGTGGTTTTAGGACGGAAATGATACTGCTAACTGTTAAGGTCACCTGTAACCTTAGATGGTGACAGAGGGCAACTATTTCAAGTCATGATGTATAATTTGTGTGATGACACCAAGACAAGTGACCTAAAATGGTTGTTTTTGGTTGTTATTACCCTCCAAGTTTCGCTTCCAAAGCTTAAGTATTTCAGACTAAATATGAAGAGGTGAGTGCTTTCAAAGAAGATCAAGAGAGCCTAGTCTTGATCCCATAATACTACAGTTCATTTTTGTTATGTTCAATCCTTGTTTTTATCCAATATAGTTTAGCAAAGAATCGTCAAACTGAGTTAAGGGAAATGATTATAATTGATTATGATTATTATTGAATAATTTAATATTATTATTATTAAATGATTATCATATGGGAAGACACGGAAGGCCCGTTAGTTAGGCTAGTCATCAACCTACCAGATTAGGGTTCTCATCGAGGAACTGAACCAACGTTTTTCTTAGCTCTTTGTGTGAGATTCGAATTCCTTTGACACTTCGTAATTGTTCTGATAATGCATAGAATAAACAGTTCCCGGATGCTTGGTTATCAGAAACAACAAATCCTTTGTTGGCAGCAATCGTTGTCAGATCAGATGGTAGGTTGGTTTTCTTGCTAACCTGTTCTGCATCACATCGTAAGTTTTGTAAAGATGGAAAAACATTCCAAGCTGAAAAAAAAAGAAAACAAGGGAAAAAAATGAGTACTTATAATCACATTTTCCTTTGTTTGGTAGGGGTGTAGTGGTCATGGATATTAATAAGTTTCTGGATCCTATTGCAGTGATTAATTTAAAATAATCCTCTGAAATTGACATCAACTAGTTTTTTATGATAAGAGAATTAGTAAGATTTTAATAATAGTATTTGCTTAATCCATAGTTCTCACTTATTTAACTTGTTGATTAATTTTGCAGAGGGCAGTGCAGTCTTGTTAGTACCTCATGTTCTGCTTAAGTAATGTTTCCCATCCAACACGATGGGGAACGGAAGTGAACATATTGCATCTTGGGCAGTTGTTATGCCCAAAATACTTTGCGGCAAACCGTCTCAATAGTAGAAAAGACACTTAGCAATACACTTTAATTTGGTAGCTTCATTAGGCATGTTAAAAGAAAAATTAACCGCCTCACGTCAAAGTTGAAAGGCGGTACTCAAACAAAGTCTTCGCTTGAACTCCCTAATAGCTTTCCTCTGAAATATTTAAATGAATAAAATCAGCAAAGGAATTTCTTAAATTGGCTTTCATTAGTTTCTTGCAATTTTGGCACTTTTAAGGCATAGTGAGATCCAATAATTTGTACATGAAAAGTACACAAATACCACGTGTTCACACATGCCGCATATTCTTTTTCTTTTCTCTCTCTCCCTCCAACCCCTCCACCTACTTTTTTTGGGAGATTCAAGAACTTTAGAAGTTTAAATGTTCTTGAACTTACGGACAAAGGGAAAAATCCTAAACCATTTTGAGACAGACCAAAGCCAACTGTTCTGTCTTAGCAGTATGTATACATGGAAGTAAACTTAGCTATGATTCATCCATGCTTGCGTAAACCATGGACTTAGAAAAAAAAGCCCGATTCACATGATGTTAACAACTCTAACGAACCAAGAACGCTCTAAAAGCATCAAAGTCTCGCTTGCTTGGTCTGAGATAGATAAGAAGGGAGGAGGCAATTATTTTATTCTATACAAAACTGGATTTCCTTGTTAAAATTTTTTCACTTTCTTGATGATGATTGAGTCTGCATAACTAAATGAACATTGAGAGAAGTTACATCATTGCAAGAGAGAAAAAATAGTCCTCCGGGAGGACATGAGCTTACTGGCAATCAAGAGTCTGTAGGAAGAAAAGGGCAATGACAGGTACCTATGGTGCGAAGCATAAACTTTTAACCTCATGTGCTATGAATTTAAATTTTCTCTTTGGAAAATAATTATTATTTTCCAAAGAGAAAATTTAAATTATTTAATAGTTTGTATCACTCAGTGTACCTTGTGTTTTCAACACGTTTGTTTTCTATTGCCAATATGTTTGCTGTGCGTTATGTGTGGAAAATGCATGTAACGGAACATCGCAACAAGTGACAACGGAGCGAATAACAATACATAAACAACAATGCACTTGCAGAACAAAATCATTCTTCAAGGTAGTGACTACTAAATTACACGTGCACTGTGGCACGTAAGGTTGGTTTGGCAGCCTCAAGCAGAGTTAAACGTCTACAGAAATTCTTGAATTGAGTTTAACCAGATTAATTTCTTTGCTATTTCTGTCCATTCATAATTGCTTTATGTGTAAATTGAGTTCTAATAGTAATGAATATTTTTAATCGTTTGTGGGAAATACAAACACGAATCTGTCGTTATTACTATAACGTAAACATTCAAATAAAATGTCAGAAACTCACATAAATTCATAACATTTCATCTTTATTATGGTTATAAGGTAATTTTGCTACGACAAATGCATGCTTAATCTTGCACAGAAATTACAATAGTCCCAGCTTCTTGGAGGAAGATGGGCTTTACGTTTTCCAGCCTTGCAGTAAATTAAGAAAAAGAAATCCAGCCAGATTTAGCCAAAGAGAGTCTCTGTTGAAAGGCAGTTAACAGTTAATTTGACCACAACCTTGCATGTATTAACCAAATGACAAGTTGTTCACCCTTCTAAGATCTGTCTGGTTCTAAAATCTTTCTGCCTTCATGTAAATAGCCCCTAACAAAAGGTTCTCTTAAGGTTGGTCCACATGTCAGTGCCATAGCCAGACCAAACGGCCAATTGAGGCAGGCGGGAGTTGCTAGGGGGGTTCGGGGGCATGCCCCCCCCCCCCGAGAAATTTTGAACTTTAGTCTCTCGGAAATGCGATTTGCAGCGTTTTCTGGGCCTTTCGGTAACTTTTTTTTCGAGTTAATTTAAGTGGAATTTAAAAAGCAATAATCAGAAACAAGCTACATAATCTGGGTGACCGTTAACCTCGCCAATGGTTTTGATCAGTATTTGTTCAAAAAAAATTTGAGTTAACGTACGTAGCCCCTTGAGATCGATGATATGGTAATTTTTTCATAGTATATTGACTGAATTGCTGAATTCTTTGTAATATCATGATGCGTTAAAAATATCTGATGATCGCTTATGTAAAATAAAAATGATCGGCGAAATTCGTCAAAATTTTACCGAGGCGAGTGCCTCGGTTGGCCTCATACTAGCTACAGCGCTGCATGTAAAATTTTTTTTTAAAGGACTAAACACTCACTTGCTTAAAAATGAGTGGGCTCTTCCAAACTTTGTGAGGAGGGATGGATTTATTCAGCCAGATGAATGTTTTCACTAGTGTCCAACATCCCAGAAATTATGACCAAGGTTGCAATAATCTTACGTATTCGTACAGTGAATGATTAAATTTTCACTTTTAGCTTCATGTATAGGCTGGGAGGGCTTATTTTCTAACCATAGAAATTACCTTCTTCATCTGAGTCTTCAGCTTCATCTCTCCTTCGCTTTGTTGCTTGCATGACAGCAAGTTGAAATGGCTTCACACAAACTGGCAAATTAAATTAAATTTTAAAAAATTAAGAAAAAAAAAAACAACTCCAAAGCAACTATAAATAATAATAAGTAACACAGTTGCATGACCACAAGAAAAATAGTTAAATACTAGCTGCAAGTGCAAAATCTAACTTCAGTAGGAGCATTAACCATCCAAAAATATGCCTGTGAATTTAATTTTTAACAAAGTTTTTGATTGCAGATCAGGAGTCAGACTGAATTTTACAGAAAGTTCTACAGGGAAACCCTAGTGTTTTGGCAGGCTTTGGGCTTTACACATATGGAATTTTACCTTAAGTACATTTTTTAGATCAAATAATCTAAACATAAGAATTAAGTTGATAAACGTGCAGCTCATGTTTCATCAAGTCTAAATCAATGAGTCATACATTAAATTACGTGTGTGATTTTCCCTAAAGGAACTTAAAAATTTTGATTGGATGTTATGTGACAGATTTGACCTCAGATTTGCAAATAGTCCATGTTCGATATACCAAAATTCTAACATGACTTAAAGCAGCCTGTGTCGCAGACCTAATTTAATCTCAGTTAGTAATGTCTGCGAAGCAACGCCGACATCCTCGTTCTGGCCCCCAACGGACTCAACAAATTACCGGAAGAGCAGTTTGAATTTCCTTTCATCTTGATTGGCAAATCAATGATAGCATTTATAACAGGCCAGTCATAGCTCATACTCGAATCCTGGTACAGAGGTGGAGGCCTAGGACAATGATTTCAGCGCTGTTTCGCAGACAGACTTTTTGTCTGTGGTACAGGCTAGAGACTTCAAGGCTTTGGGGTCAAAATTGCAAATTTTTCACCACTTTATTGTATCACAATTCCCAGAGGAGACTTGAGCACAAAGAAAACCAAACCAAATACAGAAAACGAGCCAGAAAGCCTTAGATAGAGTCACATTAGAATTTTAATATATCAAATGTGGTTGGGCTGTTCCTTGCTCCCACACAATGTATTTCTTTTAGTTGTTGATTACATCGTTTAGTTCAGTTCCCATTGGGACCATTAGATCCTTTATAAACCACTCCTTGTGAATTTCACACCAGTTGACGCCAACCAGTTTACTGGTGGCTGCGTTTTTTGTTTTCTTATGTAAGAGTTTTTTAGGTTTTACCTACGTTTAATTTGTTCTTGTATTTTCGCATCGCTTTGTTAAAATGATCTGACTCTGTTTTAGCTTGTTAATTTTTTGTTCAGCATATTTTGTTAGCACTTATGATGTTTCCTTGATCTAGCCTTTCTTAGTCCTCTGTATCTGTATTTTAAGCATGCATATATTCCTTGTTTTTGCTGTAACTATCACTGGTGTAATTAACTCGATTGCTGGCGGCTCCCTCCATTTCTCAGTCTGTTGTTTTGCCTCTTTATAATTATAACAGAAATATTTTCTATTCGGCTGAGCGAAGCGTTAGAGAATAGAAGGTCCCTCATATACTCGTGCGCCTTAGATCATGCCCTCGCCTCCCGGCCACCCCATCTCTTACCGACGTTTGTCAACTCTTGCACGAGACACCAAATCGAATCAAGGAGTCACAAAATTCCCCTTCTTTGACTACTAGATCGTTGCTTCATACCCCACTACTTTTCAGAGCGCTTTAAAGAACGAGGCACAACACTGAACAGGCACTCAAGTATGCGACACAAGTACATGTAAGTCTCGAAGTATTTTGAAGTTTAGCCTCAGGGGACCTGATGTGATACTTGCACACAATAAGAAGACACAGTATGCTTAGATTTCACATGAAAAAGAAATGCATTAACTTCGGTTCTTACCTTGACAAGCAACGCATGCATTTCAATGCAATGCGGAAAATCAACTGTACAGAGAACACGATATGCTTGCTGGAAAAATAAACTCTGCCGATGTTTTTAGGTTTGTCCCAAACTACAAAAAGTCGAAAATTTACCAGTGAAAGGAATAAAGGGTCGATAAAAACAGCGAACACAGTAAAATCCGCACTCTCGTTCATAACACTTCCGTATGTGGGAATACGTCGTCGATGCGTCTGGTCTCTGACAATCTTTGCATTCATTGGTTCAAAAGAGTCTCATGACTTACACGTCAAGTGAGCCGAAAAATTTGGAATTGGATCTGGAATTCTAGGTTAGTTGGTTAGGTTAGAATAGGCTTTAGTTTTCGTTTCACGTAATCTCTATGAACGTCATAAATAAAAGAAATAATTAACCGAAGTATAGGAAATGAATCCATTTGTGTATTGTGCCTATTGGTAGTGGTCCGTGATGTCACTTTGGGTCTGACAGATTCTACCATTAAGATGATGCAAAGCAACAAGAACAAGATGCTTTTGTCAATAATTAAAAATTGCATTGAAAGGACAAAACAGTGAATAGATTACATTTAGCGTCAAAAGCACTTTGCCTGTGTTTGCCTTCTGTTTTTGCTTCCCCAAACCAAGCCTGTTCTTGCAAGGCTTTAGATGACCTTAGATACCCTTACTCATCAAAGTCTTTGTAGAAGAACTAAGCCCAAACGGCCAAACCCTTAATATCCTTTAATGACTGTACCAAAAACATACCTGGTCATATAGCTGCTATAGAATTAACTGATACCCTTATCATATGCCTACAGTTCTTAGGGAAAAGCCCTGGGACACGAGGTTGGCCTTCAGTGACAACACTGCATACCATCCATTTTACTTCCAGATCAGTAAAGTTAGATTTCGCAAGACGGGAACTGATGACAGTAATGTGATTTTCATACTGAGTTCTCCAATGATGAATAACGATTACAAAAACATCATTTGTGGTTGCCACGTTTGGTTTGCTCCTAGTACATGCTGTTGTAACAAAGGAAAAACAGTCTTCCTCACCCCTTCTCAAACTCATTAATAATTCATTAAGAAAATACAAAGGAAATTAATGTTTAATGAGTGTTTGGAAATCGGATGAAACACTGCTTAGTATTTGCATCCTTAATTTCTCCTTCAAAAATGATTTTGTTTGAGAAGAAATATCAAACATTCGACACAGTGTTTCATCACCAGATGAAACACCTCGAAGTTCGTCAAAAATACTCCGCTGCGCGTCGTATTTTCAACTCTCTTCTCGGTGTTTCATCTGGTGATGAAACACTGCATCTCATGTTTGATATATTACTTCACTGTTTTTTACCGATTATCCTTGCCTAGTCCCTAGGCCTCATTTTTCCTCGCGGCCAAAGCGTTTCGGGTCACGTGGTCCATGCGAAAATGTTCGCCCGTTCGTCTCGGATACGTCACCGAAACGAATTGACCGAGAGGGACTGGGAAAACGCCGTACAGGGACTAGGCAACGATTATCCCTAGTACAATGCTTTTAGCATAGGTAATCACATGGTTTTTCTCGTGCAATTTGGGATAAACCAGCACTCGTAAATTTTTCAAAGACTAACCAAATTGCACGAGCCAGGGCATGGGCACCGTGTTGGGGCAGCTGTAGGACAATTTTAAGGTTACGTCTCGTTAACTGGACAAGAAAAAACAATTGCAACTGAAAGTTTCGTTCGGGAGTGGACTGGTATCACTCCCCCCCCCCCCCCCCCCACCTTTAACAAAACCACGCTGGATGCGCCCTTGCTTTGGTTTTCCCTTCTCCTTAATAACCAACATGTCCAAATTCCAATTCGATGTAGAAAGTGTTTCCAGTTAGTTGGGGACAGTCAAGAGAACCACAGGTTTACGAGTTCTTGGAACTGTCAAGTGTCACCCTCTTTCACCCTTTAAGTACCAAAAGAGACAAACCTCAATTTTCTCCTTAACAATATCAGTACACAATCAAGAGAATATGTTGTGAGAATTAATAAAATAATCACCTGAGGAAAATGCTTTGATCTTTTATATATTCTCTCAACTTATTCTACATAGAAATGTGTAGACACAGGTTTGGAGAATTTGTATGTGGATATTGGGGCTTAAAGGGTTAAATACGGTTTGTTTTTGGTTTATTTTCCATACTCATCATTTTCGGTTTATTTTGTTATTCAAGGTAGCTAAATTAAAATATGGCGGGAGAGAAAAACAAAATCAAATTAAAAAAGAGGAAGAACAAAAGAAGGGGGCTGACAGGGACACCAGAACAGCTGATGCCAACTACAGCGGGCGGGTTTAATTACCCTGTGTGTGCATGATAGAAGGATCTTGGATTTCGATTTGGGTCCACCTTACTAACTTAATGGTTTTTTCTGTGTTAGCTGGCGCCAAATACAAAAGAGGTGATGGTCAGTTTATAGTTGGCGAGATCAGCTTTCTGAGTGATTCTGACTGCCGGTAAGATAGTTGCTTTCAAACAATTCAGGGTAGAAGATCTTGTCACTAAGTAAAAAAAAGGGGTTTTCACCTCAACATTTGTTACAAACAATTGGGGATCAAAGGAAGGAGTAAGGAGAGGATGGGTTGTGTGGTCCTCTCTTATTATTGTAACCGCGGCAGGATTATCTCAGTCGGTAGAGCGCTTGACTGCAGAGCGGGAGGTAGCGGGTTCGATTCCCGGGACCGGAACAATACATAGGGTCTTAAAATGACTGAGAAATGAAGGTACTGCCTTTGCCCTGCAAATGGCTAGACCTTCGCGTGGCTCGGATGACCATGTAAAATGGCGATCCCGTCTCCAGTAGGAGACGTAAAAATAGTGTCCACAATTATTACTTTCGTGCTAAAATACATTGACACTCAAATAAAGTGCATTTTTTTAACCAAGGCCCCGAGATACTTAATTTTGGGCAGGAAGCAACAGGCCCCTGGATCCATCCGTTTTAGATACAAAGTTCATATCTCAGCCGACAAAGAAGTATCCGTACGGTAAAAAGGGGCTGCATAGGCCTCCAACCCCTCCCACCCTCGGTGAGTCTAGATCCACCATTGCTTCTTTTGTCCCATAAGCATTTTGCTGAAGGATGGAAAGTTTGATTTACTAAGGAACGAGGCCAGGCCGACATGTTACTGGTCTAACGGAACTTTAATTACATCATTTTCAAAACCAAGGCTACGTACAATAATAAACGGGAAACCTGAAAATGTATCAGCCATCCTATGTACAAAAAAAATTCTAAAATAACGCTTACTGTAAATCAGTGAAAGCATGCTCACATTGAGCTAATAATACGCCTACAGGAAAATTTCTTAATGTATATGTCATATGTAACTGTATGCGTACCTTATGAGCAGTGGTTTAACCACTGCTCGCAGGGTACTGTATGCATGGCTATCTAAATTGATCATATATGTCTATCAATTTTTGACAGTGTCGCCATTATGGAATACTTTTTAGAGTTAATAGTAAAGCGTCATTTACATATGAACTGTTTTACTTTGTTTAAACACACATTGTTCATATGAGGTTGCTATGTTCACGTAATACTATATAAAGCCACCGTATCCTAAAAAACAATTCTCGCGTAGTGTTACTTTTATGAATGTTAATCAATCCCAAATTGTACTATGTAAAGGATAATATATCAAATGTAGCTATACTGTATGTACAACTATCTCAAATAAATAAATACAGTGTCTATCAATTTAACCCAGTCTCCACAATCGCATTGATTCAGATTTTTAGTTACGCGTTTTCCATATGAACCTTTTAACTTTTGAAGTCACAACCTGTTCAAGTACACTATAAAAACATAGTAGTGTCCAGAAACAAGTTTCTCTTCTCACAAAACCAAAAGTATTTTGAAAGTAATACAACAGAAAACCGAAGAGCTGCGAGATTGCTTCGAAGTTACCTGATCACTGTGAAGCTTTGCAGAAAAAGAAAGCGCACTTAACAGAATATTTTCAATGGTTTTAAGATATTTTTAGCTTCCTGGGTTATTTTATTACTAAAGAGGTTTGGGTAGTTTAGCGGGATGCAGAAGTTAAATATTTAACTTATTTCATTAGTGTAATCATCAGTACTATGGAGGTTTCAGCTTGGTGTGTGTGAGTGCTGCAGTAAAGTGTTTAACTCCTTCATCAGTCATCTAGTATCTCTCGAGGATTAATCTTTTTAGTTCGCAAAAACCCCGATTGTGTTCGCTGCCAGGTAACAACTTCGCGACCTGACGACTGACGGTTGTTGACCCGTAAATCAAAATCCAAAATTCCTTCAACATAGAAAAATTTACACGTTTAATGGCTCAGATACCGGCAGTGCTCAACGCTAACGCGAGTCCACTGGCCCGGGACTAGTGAAACTATACCATGGGCTAGTAAAAATGTGCTCCTACTAGCCCTTAGACCAGTTAGTTTAGTAGACAAAATAAATTTTACACAACTTTCATAACTTGGGAATTTCTTTTTCTGGGCTTTCCTTTTTTGACCAGTGACTTGTCCTCGTGGGCTAGCCCATTGCCTAGTGTCCAAAAAGTTATTGTCTAGCACTGTACCGGTATATACTTTACAGTTTCTATTCACTTCTTTGAAGAAATTTTCTACCTTCCTGGGTTATTCTATCATTTATTAGGCTTTTAGTCTGTAATTAGGCAATTAGTGTGTGTGAGTGCAGTAGTTAGAAGTTTAATTCCTTCATCACTTATCTGGTTAGCCCACAGGTTTAATCCTTGTAGTTCAGCACAAAAACCCTGATTGTGTAGGTTGCCAGGCAACCACTTCGCGACCTCAATACATCCCAGCGACTGAAATCAAAATCCAAAAGTCCTTCAACAGAGAAAAATATTTAATGGCTTAGACTTCCACTTCACAGTTTTTGTTCATTGAGTTTAGGATATTTCTACCTTTCTCGGTTATTTGGTTATTAACGAGATCAAAGCTGTTTAGCTTGCAGTTAGTGTGTGTGAGTGCTGTAGATAAGTGTTTAACAGCTTCATCAGTTATCTTGTTATACCCGAGGTTTAAGCTGTTTAGTTTGCAGTTAGTGTGTGTGAGTGCTGTACATAAATGTTTAACACCTTCATCAGTCATGTTGTTACGACTGAGGTCTAAGCTTTTTAGTTTGCAGTTAGTGTGTGTGAGTGCTGCAGATAAATGTTTAACTCCTTCATCAGTTATCTGGTTAGCCGCGAGGTATAAGCTGCTTAGTTTGCAGTTAGTGTGTGTGAGCGCCGTGGATAAATGTTTAATTCCTTCATCAGTTATGTTGTTACCCCCGAGGTTTAATCTTCTTAGTTCACAAAAACCCTGATTGTGTTGGTTGCCAGGTAATAACTTTGCAATCTCAATACATCCTAGCGACTGAAGGTTGTTGTCGTTTAAATCAAAATACAAAATTCCTTCAACAGATTTAAGTGCATGCACTAATGCTAAATAGTCGAGAGGTGACAGGGAACACCGACTAAAATCAAACGCATTACAACCAGTTTTCGCCAGTTTCTTTTGAACTTCTCGATCAGAGGCATTGTTCTCATACATGCAATTGAATAGCGTCCCCACTAAATCATAGTCTTCATCAGCTGGCCAACGGATCAGTGTTTCAGTTCGTTCCTCTGAGTCTTCGATCAACTTGATTTTAAGTCCAGTAGTAAAAGTTTTTGAGGGAAGAAGGTCGCTGAAAATATCTGTTGACTGTCCTTCTTTTTCAGCCAGCAGTCCAGCCACAAACTGCATCACAACCTTCCACGCGCCATCCTGGATGTGAGCGGAAACAAAGCCTCGCAGCTGTTCGGAACTCAACGTGTCTACCAAATACTTCGCCGCCAAGAACTCCTGTATGGTCAGGTGTAAAAAGCAATATTGCGCTCTTCTCTCTGCGAAAGGATGGTCTTTAATATCAGGTAAACGGTGAAACAGGCCATTACTCTCTAGGTCGTTAACTTCGTGTGATTCAAAAATCAGTCTTCCCTCTTGAATTCCATTAAAAGCTATTTTTCCCAGACGTGTGAACACATTTTGCACAGAGGAAGGCAGTTCCTTAAACGGCTTAAGAAAAAACTCTTGACTTTCAGTTTTATTGTGGCGATATTGATCATCATCGTAGCTAAAGTAAAACATCCTTACGGCAATTGAGTATATTTCTGCCAGTCTCGTCGGGAGGCTGGTAAAGCTAGTGTTACCAAGCAACTCTAACAAGCAGCAACAAATGATGAAGCAATTAACAGGAACGTAGCAGAAGGCTACAAGGTTTAAGTTACTGGTGATGTGTTGCCTTATGGTTTCCGCTTTGTCCTCCTCCTTTGTAAACTTCTGTACATAATTATTTACTTGCTCAGTTGAGAATCCCAGAATTTCAACTGTTTTGTCGAAGTGAAGACTTGTGATACATGACACGGCATTGGGTCTTGTAGTCGTTAGGACTGTCGCACCGGTAAGAATTTTTCCCTCTACTATTTTCTTCATAAGGAAATAAACAGGCATCGTTTCCTCTTCACTGTATCTGTACGGAATGTCATCTTCATTCACTTTAGTCCTACCAGAATATTCGTCAAATCCATCAAAAATCAACAGTACTCGCTCTGGGTTGTGGCGGATGTAGTTCCAGAGCTCTTCGGAAAGAGCGGTTGAATACTCTGAGTGATCCAGAATCTCGCGAAGATTTAGTTCTTGGTTTCTAGAGTTAAACATTCTCAGCTTAATGAGAAAGGCAACTTTAAAATCGACTTGCGATTTTTGTGTTTCGTTGAAAAGGTTATCGGACGCCCAGTTGCGAAGAATCTTTGTGCTAAACATGGTTTTTCCAATTCCAGGACGACCGACAACAAGAATCTTCCGCTCTTTAGCATCAAAAATATCTCCTGGCGGTGTTGGTCGTAAACTTTCATTGGCTTTGTGGTACTCGTTTAGCTGTTTCACTCTGTCTCCTGAAAAGTCATACTTCGCTCTCCCTTCATAAACAATCAAATTGGTGAAGACTTCGTCAAGTTTTAGATCTCTTCTAGGTCCTTCGCCTGGATTATGAAAAGGTGATTTGAGGTCTCTGTAAGGTTTGTCAGTGACATCTCGGACATGTTTCTTCATACGTTCGATGAAAGGAGCGACTAAGGTTTCATCATAGTGGGTGATTAACTCTTGTGGTTGCGGTCCTGAAGAAAAAACACTCATTAGTTTGATAACAAAATTGATATTTTATTGATTCACTGATGACGTATAAAACGATAATAATGATAATATTTTCACCACTGTCTAAAATATGCATGTCAAATGTCAAAATATCATTACCGTAAATCCTCCTTATTTGAGATGGGGTGGGGTGGGGGCTCAATTAATTTAGAAAAGACGATAGTATCAGCTCTCCATAGAGAACTACAAAACAAAGAGGAAAAGCTCAAGTACAAGAAGGTTTAAGGTCATGCACGGAGGATCAGAATCAAATCCAAACTTCCAGTTGGTATGAAACCATCCTGGATCAGTCCACACGAAGTTTCACAGTCGTGATTGATTAATACAGTCTATCAATTATTAGTAAAGAATAATTAGGGGAGGGGAGGGGGGATTATACGCGGGAGGGGGGTTATTTTAGAAGAGGGGGGCTTAATAGAGGATTTACGGTATAATACGGACTACATATCATGATAGCTTCTAAATATTGCAAATTATCTCAAATTGTACTGGTTCCTAAATAATGAGATGCACACTTCTAATTGAAGTGGTCTCGTCTTAGAATATCGGACAAGCCAACAACTCAACACGCTTTTAATCCGACTTATGCACTACATACATACTTCGTCCTCGTAGTCTACTCCATGCCTTCCTAATTAATACACTAATGCTTCGTGTTATTTTACAGAAATGTATCACATCCACTATCCTACTTGAATCTCAACTTAAACAACTTGAACAAGTGGTGAGTGTTGGACAGCTGAATTTGGGATGGCCTGCATCCCAGAGCATGTACCATGTAGCTTATCTGTGACTGTACTATGGAACGAACGCAACAGTGGATTCAATAAATCAGATGCCAAGATGTGGCAGCACTCTATGATAGCATGATTACCTTGATAATGAGGCCATGAACGGAAAACACAGGGTTCATTCAACATGTGTGCAACAAGAGATGCTGCCATCACACTGGCACAGGAAGACCAACTCTCTGAAGCTAACTTAGAACCATCTGCATAGTCAGCTATTCCTTTCACAATTAACCACTCAATTTGACAATCAAATGCTGCTGTAAATACTCCTGTAGGACAGCAAAACAAACAGTACATGAGATTTGGGAAAAGTCCTGTTTCATTTAAGTGTCTTCATCACCAAAATAAGAAACTTGACCAGACAATGGGAGATGTTGGCAGCCATTTTTGTATAAGTTTCATTATCGTGTAATTTAAATTTATCAACAAAGATGAGTGTGAGTGGAGGTGCTTGCAAGACTTGTGGAGCCAGGAAACTGGAGTCAAGTGCAGCTGCTCATAACCATGACAACCCTTCGAGTGGCAATAATTCAGGCATCATCTCACAGCTAACCAGTGGAGCTTGTATTAAGTGGAACCCCGCCTTATGGCCACCTTAGTAATACAGTCACCTTGTTATTTTTGGCCTGGCAAAATGGCTATACATTTTCGAATGAAAAAACCTAGTTAACACAGTCACCCGTTGATGTGGCCGATGGCCACATTTTTAAATCCCAAACAGTAGCATCTTTTACAATAAACTGTTTCAGCCCACTAAAACGGCCACTTGTCAGAAAGTTTGAAAATTAAAATGCCTGTGACATGTCAATTTCATTTACCTAGTACTAAAAAAATTAAGCTGATCTTGTTTTTCTAGTGTTTTTTAACTATAGTCACTTACAAAGTATTTTGTGGTGGTCTAATAGCCGATTTTTAAAAACAGTTTTATGTCCTGACGGAGTTTCAAGTAGTGTTTACAATTACGGTGTGTGATATCTACATTCCTGTTATTTATTTAAGAGAACAGAGTTGTAAAAGAAGTGCGACAGCGATATATGATGTGCTTGTAATTACAGTCCTCAAGTCATGAAGTTTGACTCTGCCGTTGTGATACAGCCACCCCATTGACGTGGCCAAATTGTTTTGACCCATTAGTGACAGTATTAATGGGGTTCCACTGTACTTACTAAAGGGAAGGCAGGGTAAGAAGCAAGCAACGTTAATAAGCTACGTGAATGTAATGGTATGACTTCAACAGAGAAGCTGTGAATTCCCCAGGGTCCCTGAAGAGCCTTCTCATTTGAAAGACCAACTTAACTGGCCAACAATGTCTAGAGTTAAACTTAGCCTAAATTCGATTTAGCCGCATAATGTTTTAGGAAATATGACAATTATTTCTCTAGCAAAAAGGAGAGGATTTCCCAATGAAACTGACAGACATGACTTTAAGTGCCAAACTCCCGACCTTTTGATGCTTTAAAGGAAACAAAATTTTTGCTTTCCTGGTACAAGTATGATGCATGCTACTGTGTCTCTTTCCACTTCAAGCAAAGCTTGACCTGGCTGTGTGCACCTTCTCATAAAGACTGGCTGCAAAAAAGCAGTCGGCCTACCTTCTCCTTCGTTTTCCATTGCTATTGCCTGAGGATTGGTTTCAGCAAGTTTATCCCGTCGCTGTCCAGAAATGACTTGTTCTGGTCCACTCAGAATCTCAGCAGCAGTATAAACTTGAACTTGTTGAGCATCAGCCAGGTTCTTCAAAGGTGCTTGCCAGCCATCAGCACAATTCTTAATGACATCCAGGAAACATTTGCTCACAAAACTCCTCATGCCAGTTGACTGCTCTTGATCATTGCTCACCACTTTGGGTGCATATGTTGCTAATTTGGCAGAAACAACAACATCTCCTAACTTGCATTTCTCAGGCTGAAGACCACTACATGCTCCTACAGATATAACTGCTTTAGGTCTTAGTGCAGTGGCAGCATTCTTAACAGAGATGAGAGAACCACCAGGACAACTACTGTTCTCGTAACATTTTAATAATGCGACTTTTACTTTCTCTTGACTTCCATCCACATCAGAAAAGTAAACATACCCAAGACCATCAAAGTAACATCTATAGGGGTTCTTAAGCTCACTGTAACAAGCTAAGAACTCACAATTCTTCACTGTCAGTAACAACACATCAATCGGGAGATCAGCATGTTTTGAAGGTTTAGTTATTGTGTTAATGTCAGCTAAGGATGGGAGAACTTTATTAAGCTCAGGAGGGCCTCTAATGGGCTTCGTCCCTGCAGTATTTTTTGAACAAGAATGGAGACTGCCAGTAAGCTGAAATGCAGTACCATCACTGCCCTCTGATCTGCTCATAGTATCCTCTGGAAAACTGGTGGTAAGCTGGGTTGTATTGCCATCATTACCCTCTGATCTGCTAGTTGAATGCTCTGAAGATCTTGATGATCCTATATGATGAATTAAATGAAAATAAAAAAGAGAATTAATGATAATAATATTTATAATATATATATGTGGTGTGCTAGTCTTCGCTAGCTGTCAAAAACTGTAGCCAGTGATTTGACTTCCACAGAACACAGATTGGACCTGGCCACTTTTAAGCTTGGTTACTGAAAAGAACTTTTTTTAATTGAAAATATTATGGCCCTGAAAGATAAGAAGTTATGGGACAAGATCACCGACAGCAATTTAACAACAGCTTTGGATGATCTTCTGCCACTGAAGCGAACTATATTTGGTTATATTACGTAAGAGGTGTCATAACTATATTCTCCCGTCTGTCAGAACTGAGCATTTCAAGAACTTTTGTAAATAGATGTTTGTTCTCTAGTTAGTTAGTTAGTTACCTAGTTAGTTAATTATCTGTATGACTAAATTTATATCATTGTAACTAAACACATCTGTTGTTTAGAGTGTCTATAAAACTCGTCACAAATAGATGTGCAAGAATCCGCAATGATTCGCAATAGCAAAGCGTTTGATCCGCAAAGATCAGCTGATAACACTGCACGTGTAAAGCAATGAACCTTGAAACCCTGTGAAACCTCTAGAGGCCAACCCAAAGGTCACGTGCTGCAGATGAGGGAGACCGCTGGCTGCATTTGCTCACATTTTACCTTTGCCTAAATGATATTTAGCCACATATAAAACCTTTATTATTAGCCCTATGGGGTTGGTTCCAAGAAAGAAGCTTTGGTTAATCTCAGGAACAAGAGTCACTGAAAGACGATTTTAACTGGGCTGCCAAGAGATGATTTTTTCTGAGGGGAGGGCCGGGGGTAGCTGTATGCACTCAGGCTACTATAAAACCTTGTCCATTGCGTGTGATCGAGTAAAAGATACGTAAACTCATTTGAACATTGTACCATTTTGGAAGGCTTTTGTAACAAGAAAAATGAGTACCATTTTTAAGTCAGGGCTGAGTGGTAACTTTTAAATTCCACCATGATGAATAAAAATAAGCAAGTAGAAAATGATTTACCATTATTTTCACGCAACCCTCGCCCAATCCCCCTGCCCCTTAAAATGTAGCCTGACAGTATAACATCACTATTTTGACCTCACCAGAAATTCGAAAAATTATTGTCGTTCTACGTGTCATAAAACATGACAGGGCAAACAAGCAGTACAGGCCAGCCCACTTAATAAGCCAAACTTTCTGCAAAGTTTTCCTGTCTAGTAAAATGTAAATGGAGGTCATAAATGGTGTAGAGCCTTTAATCTAAGATCCATCTATGTGAACACATAATCAAAAGGAATGCCAATACAAGACTTGTATTGTATTGTATGCAAATTTAATCTACACTTTCTACTCTGGCAAAAATGCTGTTTATTTGGGCAGATTTTCTGTCATCATCAATGCTTAACAAATGCAGACGGTTTGTCAAGTTTTTACAAATTTTGTTAAGATGGGACAATCTACAAAGGTGCCACAGACAAAATTTGCCCTGGGGTAAAAACTGGACAAAACCTATAACTAAACAAAAATGTGTTTTTCTTGTCTATAATTATGTTGTAAAGCCATTGTTCTTTTCATTCACAAAAGCAAGTGTTGTCACATTTAATGGGCATTTAATGGACTGGAAATCCGAAGGCGTTCAGAGGGATACTTACAACTGGAATTCCGAAGGCATGGGGGGGGGGGGGAGTTGGGATCTAGAATTTCCACAGGGGACAGACAAGAGTGTATGTATTCCTTGAAAACGCTTATTTTATGGATTTAATCAGTTCGCAAATGAAGCATGAACTGACGACACTGCCAACAGACAAGACAGGCATCCATTGACAGGGCTCAAAGTTAACGACTAACTGGTAGCATATGCGACTGGATTTTTGGTTAGGCGCCTAAAAATTCATGTGTTATCGCACCTGTGCGCCATAAAACCCAAAGCACAGTGTGACTAACTTGCTTCTGACTATACTTACGAACTCGAACCAGATAAGACAGTGTATGTTTCATTGGTCTTTTCTCCCAATGGATTCCACAAACTCGAATGTTCTTTTTCGTTTCGATGTTTTACTCCATCCCAGACTCTTCTGTTTTGTAATAAACACCGCTGACACATGCAAATATATGCTACGAATGAAACACATGCTTTTTGCGCAATGGACGATCATGTCGAACGATCAGTTTTAAGGTCAATCAAAACAAAAACAGTGTGGATTAACAGCCTGTTTTTCCAGGTAAGAAAGTTTTTAAGTCATATCCCAGGTACATGTAAGTCATTGCGCATTTAACAAATTCATTAAAGATTAACTTTCATTCTCGTTCGACACACTTGTTGTTGTCAGTTTTGAATTTTTTTTCAAGTGTAAGTTTTCTTTAGTCACAGCTAGCGCTGTACTGTCAAAAAGAGAAATTAGTACTAAAAATCACAACAGTATTACTGCGTAGCAAATCGGCTGTGTTTTATCAGTCACAGGACTGAAGTAAAAGTAACAAACTGAAGATGACAAATAAATGAGGCACTGTTAAGCTTTTTACTTTTTCTTTTGAAATAGATGCTCCCAACATTATAAACTGTGCTCCTAAAATTTTCAGCTGTGCACCTAAAATTTCGGCAGTGCGTCTAAAAATTTACATCTGGTAGCACAAGTGTTCCCAAACTCAAATTTAAACTTTGAGCCCTGATTGATCAGTGATGTTTGCATGTTCATTTGTAGAAGAAAACCAAAAAAGCTTGAATTGTACATCAAGTTTTAGAGGCCTTTATGCTACGAAACATTCTTTCTTCTCCTGTGGAAAAACAGTCTCATAAAGTTTTTGTCCACTCAATGCAAAACATGCAGGTCTTCTGACT